GCGCAAAAGTGGCGAGCCAATTATATTTATTTTATTTTTTATTATTGATTGGCTTAAAAGTTTTGTATTAACACTACAAATATTACAAAATAGTGATCTTTATAATAGCTTCAGAGTTCCATAGGGGCCCGGAAGCTAATATATTGAGGTTTTGCAGATGCTGTAGACTGCTAACTTGTATACCCTCTATGATTTATACCGGTGATATTTAATGGCTTAATTTTAATCTATACCCAGGTACTATACATTGTATGCTTCAAAAAAAACCCTGGTGATATTTATGTACGCAAATACATAAGTATATTGTAGTTCAAACAATATATCCCTCTGCTTCAGTACCCGAATACAGTGCTACGTGGTCAATGTAAATACCGGATACTACGTAGTACATAAAGTATTATATAGAAGATGCCAATACATAAACTGTAACGTCTATTTACTTTCTTATTGAGACCTATGTCCTTGTTTACTTACAGTAGGTTGTAGCCTAAATACATACTATTCATTCTCTTATTTCCAGCTACAGTTGTTAAAAGAAAATTAAGTTAATAGCGATAAAAGAGCATTGATATTAGCTGATAATTTAATTTCGGATTTCTTTTTATGTATATAAATAATAACAGCTGAATATTGGTTTTGTATTACTTTAGCCTCAAATCTACGATCATTTCTTTTGTACTAACACTGTTCAAATACTACATGAATTACTTACTAGCTGCCTTTTTAATTACTCATAGCTTAGTGCAAACAACGTTACTAACTGCTATGACTGATCAAGCGGCCTTTGTGTTATTATGTATATAATCTTTAAACTATGATCATATTTCATTGCATGCATAACTGTTTCTAATTTCAAGACTACATTTTCTCAATGCATTTGTTGATTTGTCATATCTGGGTAGACGGTAAGCACCTAATTATACAAAGCGGGCAATAGCAAAACCAGAAAATTGAAGTTTTTTTTAGCTTATATGTTATAAATTCCTTGATTACAACATTTTTGTTATTTATTTACAGTGCACTTTTTTTTATTTACAGCACTTTATACTAATCTCTTATAACATTTTTATGCAAATAACTAATTATATCACATATCGATAGTTTTTAAATTATTACTTATACATATATTTCTTGTTCATACATTAATATATACGTATCATGCATGATAGATTATAATGGTCATGTGATGTATACGAAACTATTTGTATAATAATTATTAAGAAAGAATTTTATTTGCATACCTTTTTGTTTTCTTTTCGTTACTTTATTATTTTATTTATTTATTTGTTTATTTATTGCATAGTATTATTTTCGTTATGCATTCAGGTTTTAAATTCAAAATTTAAGAAAAATATGTATCAAGGAGTTGATCGTTTTAAAGAAATCTAAAAATAAAATAGTTAGCAAATTAATTGATTAAAATGTATAAAAGAAGTAGAAAAAGCGATCTTGTAAAAAGCAATTGTTCTTTGTCTTCAATACTTATAGTAAATTTTTTTAACCTCAAGTTCTTAACACATCATTTGATTAATTCTTTAAAATTAACACTATATTCATATAAAGTTATATTACTATTCTTTTTCAATATTATTTTTAAATCATGAATTCTGAAGATATTGTAAATTCCGAAGATATCATGGATTCTGAAAATATTACTGAATCTGAAGATTTTATTGAATCCGAAGATATTATGGATTCTGATACTTTGGATTTGGATGAGGATTTTATATCTCCACCTAAAAATTTCAGCACTCATTGGACAGGCTTTTTGCGTTCAAAACAATTAAAAAATGATAAAGCCTGACGATATAATGCAAAATGTACATATTGTGCCCAAATATTTGAAGCACGTAAAGAAGCAATGACAAATCATATGCTTAATCTATGCCATAAAATTTCAGCTGAAAGTAAAATACTTTATTCACGTACTGTAAACAAAAAAAAATCTGAAGAAGTTACTGAAGTTCCTACTCACAAAGCAGTTTTAGTAACTAATTATTTTGATAAAGCTATTTTATCATCGGAAAAAACCAATGAATTACATACTTTGTTGTTACGAGCATTAGTATATAGCAATATTCCATTTACTTTTGCTGAAAATCCATTTTTTATTTTATTTTTAAAGT